ACTCCTCATTTAATAAAATGTTCTCCAGTTTAGGCTCTTGACTCCTCCACCTCTAAGAGCTGACAGTCTCAAGGACCTGATGTATCCCGTGCGCTCCCTCTGGCCACTGCCACCAATGTGTAACTGACTACTATGAAAGAAAGAAAACTAAGGCTTCCATACATATCAATACGATGAAACAGATGCTGACGGGAGCATAGGAAGAAGGTGTGAAGGATATTGATAAAGGCTTCTGGGCTTTAAGTAGTGTTCTACTGTAGTTTTTAAACTACTGTAGCTTTTTCTACACACATGATTAACGGAATCAAACACTATCTGCAATTCCTAAACTCCTTTCTAGTTCTAATGATGTCCTAAGTCAATACCACTCATAGTCATGCTCATCCTGGGCCACCTGAGAAATCCTTCCTATTGCTCCTCTTGTGATGATTTATGCATCTCATCCGATAAATTCCCTGGCCTGTTTTTTTGGTCCTGAACAGGCATAGGATACAAATTTATTTATTTTCAATCTTAAATATTCCACTTTCTCCCTACTTTTGAGGGTTAGAGCATTTTAATGAGAAATGTATAAATTTGAGTGAACTGTCAAAATCATAAGCAATAAAAATATGATTATAGAAAAACCAACAACAGTTCCAAAGATATGTTTCAACCACCTACTTGGACCAACTTTTTAAAAATCTTTAACATTATCCTTCAAATTTTATGTTTTATATAATTATATTATTCTGTTTTGTTGTGTGTGTGTGTGTGTGTGTGTGTGTGTGTGTGTGTGTGTGTGTGTTTAATCCCTGTTTGGTTTATAGATCTTATCAGAACAAGGCAACTCTTCTTCTTCTAAAACTCTGAAGCTTTTTACAATCCCTTCTCTAAAAATTTTCTATTTAGGAGACTTGTCAAACTTGTTTTATATAAACTGCCTATAACTTCATTTTTCTCCAAACCTGGCTCAGGAAACATCAATTGCAACATGAAATGCTCTTAATTTTATAGAAACACTTATCCATAATATGAGATTAAAATGAAGTTTCTTTTTCATCAATTCTAGATACCCAGAGATAAGTGCAACTTTTGTTTCTTTGTAAACTCATAATATGGGGGATAAATGCTAGTTTAAAAACATGTAATTGTAGGACTCTCCTCAATGGCAAACATTTAAAAAATTAGAAAATAAGAATAACTCTTTAATAAGGAAGACCTCTCTAGTTAGAGGGATTCTTAAAACCTGCCTCCCCCCAAAAAAGTGTTCTTAACTTTTAAAAGTAAATTTTTAAGAATTTTAAATAATAATTTAAAAGTGAACCAAATAGAAATGCTCTGTAAATGAGACAAAGAAACTGGAGAAATAAGAACTAAAGCACATAGTTTAGCTCAAGCAGACTTGAAATTACCCATTAATTAAAAGGAAAATTTTACTGAAAATTGAATTTATATTTTAAATTACTTACATACATATGGAAAAGTTCAATAAAATTCTATATTTTGACATCCTGGATTTTAATTATTCAGGTAAGTTTTTAACATTTAAGAAAGCAAAGTCTATGTATGTGTGTTTACAGTTTATGTTTCTTATGGAACTCAACAATATTGAATGATATAACTATTGTTATTCAGAAGACGAAAATATATGGCCAATAACCTATGACAAGTTTGTATCACAGCTTTCCCATGAAATTTATACAATCACACAATATATGTGTACAAATTTTTCACAAAATTTTTCTGGAATTCAAGTTTTCAATAAATTAAAATATAGTTGACTTTCATCTCAGAATTCCCACCATGATGCATAACAGATAACAGATATTCAATGAATATTAAAAGTTTTAAAATCTTTAAGATAAATGAAAGTTTTAAAATCTTAATGGCATTAAAAGGAAAATTAATTTTTTGTTCACAGTAGATGAAGATTATAGCAACAAAGGTAATTTTATCTTATATGCAGCCATTTTTTTATTATGACTTCCAAAACCAAAATATACTTGGAAAAATCTAGAATGCATTTTTAAACATTACTAAACTTCTTTCAAATACTTTTTCAAGCATACAGCTTTTGTTATTAATGGGTCAGAAAGGTATACACAGAGACATTCAGACACACAAATATTTTCAAACATATACAATTATGGAACTTAAAGGAATAATATATACTCATAAAAACGATCATATGCACATTAACCAAAAAAAAAAACAAAAAAGTAGTCTTAGGTAAGAATAAGAATAATTAGAGAATTTAACCAATATTAGTTTTTGTTAGACAATGTTTACAAAAATAGTTAAAGTATGAGTTATCAACAATGAGTATATACATAGATATTCATTAACAAAACCCATAATACTAATTCTCAAAGTATGAATTTCATGTATTCCAGGATTACTTTTTAAACTAACTTGTTGATATATCGAATAAAAATTTTTACATAGAATAATGTCCTTAAAATAGCTTACTTATTATATTTAAAAACCAATAAAATGTTTTCTTTTGCAAATACCTTTTTAAACATTGAACTATCTTTATGTTTTATCCTTTGTGATTTTATAAAATTTCTCTTCACTCAATGTTTTCTACTTAAAAAGTACATAACATATATTTTATACTTTTAAAAGAGGTCTATTTTAAGTTTTTACATGAAGTGTTAAAAGTAACTTTAACTGAATAAAAAACAGTTTCTTCATTTTAAAAGAATAAATTTTGCAGGCATATTATAAGAATGGAAAGGAATTAAAAGCTTTAAAAAAATCAGTGACACTGCCAATAATCAACAACAATTTTTACTTTCTCTCAGTTCACATCTAAATTTATATATAATTTTACTTGGTTTATAATCACAACTGTTGGTTCACAACTTGGCCCTTGTACACAGAGGGCAAGGAGGGATGAAAGACAGAAGCCACTCCAGATTTGTAGGTGGCAGGTTTTAATAAGCAAGGGAACTTATTTAGGAGGCTTGGTTTGAGCAACAGCGATATGAGATCTCTACACTCACCTGCCAGAATCGTAAAAGTTTATCTCTTACCTGAGTTCAGTCACGTATTCAGTCTAGTGGTCTCAGCACACATTGTTCTCTCAAGGCTGTGCCCTTGCAGATGGCTCCCACCATGGGAATGATGAGCAGAATTTACATTCCAAAGACAGCACACATTGTTCTCTCAAGGCTGTGCCCTTGCAGATTGCAGATGGCTCCCACCATGGGGATGATGAGCAGAATTTACATTCCAAAGACGGGGCCGGGGGCGGGGAGCCTGTGATTGCTGGAATCCAGCTCCTGAGTACACCCATGATCCGTGGTCCTATCCTCTCAATAATCTCCTCCAACAATGTATAAAACAAGTTTGTATTCTGCTTTATTCACTTTATATTTTAATGTCATTTTATATTGCTTCATGATAACTGTCAAAAGGCTTTAAGTTTAACTTACATTTCAATGCATCAGTTAACATTCATTTAAAAATTCCTTTTTAAATTTTTTTTACTTCAAGCCAGTGGTTCATTGACTGGTTGATTTTTAGTGATAGCTTTTAAAGTGGACACTTGGCATTGTAATAAGGAAAAGAAGAACAGAAAAAAAATAAAACATAGTTAACCCTTGAACAACATGGGTTTAACTGAATAGCCTGGCTTATACGCAGATTTTTTTTCAATACACTTGGCCCTTTTATCTTCAGGTTTTGCATTTACATATTCAACCAATCAAGGATCAAAAGCAGTATTTTCAAATGCCCAACCATAGATTCCTAACTTCAGATTGAAAATACAGTTGACCTTTGAACAGGTGGGAGTTAGGGGTGCCAGCCTTTGAGCAGTGGAAAATTCATATATAACTTTTGACTCCCCAAAAACTTAACTACAGTCAGACTTTGCATCTGTAGATTTAATCAACCACAGTTGGGAAATCACAGTTGAATCTATGGTCACCAAATCTGCAGATACAAAGGGCCAACTATATTTATCAAAAAAGGTCCATGTATATTTGAAACTGCACAGTTCAAACCCTGTTGTTCAAGGGTCAACTACACTATTTTCAACCCAAGGTTGGTTGAATCTGTAATGCAAAAGGCCAACAGTAAATTTTGGGGGAGTGAAAAGTTATATGTGGATTTTTGGACAGGGTAAGGGGGGTTCAATGCTATCACTGTTGTTCAAGGGTTAACTATACTTTTAGTTTTTTTAAGTATTGTAGTATACATTATCATAAATGTTAGACATAAAATATATCTAACTTTCAAACAGAAAAGAATGGAATTTAAAAGGAAACTTAAAGTTGTTACTTCCAGGTGGCTAAATATTAGAATGTGTCCTATCTAGTTTCCACACCAATATCTAAATTGGCTGCCAAGAAACATAATGCTATCCAAAACTTTGAAAAACTAGTTGTTAAATCTTTTTTTTAAGTTAAAAATCAACACCCTTTGGATTTCAGGGAATAAAAAATTCTTTAATGGGCACTAGTATTAGGATCACTGTAAAAATTTCAGGAAGGAATTCATCAAAGGATGATATATGGGTTGAAAGAGTCAAGAGTGTTATGAGTTGGAGAGCATTCAGATTCTAATGGAGGGTTAGAGCTTGGACAGCCATTGGCCTTCCACCAAAAAGCAATAACGAAACTGCCAAAAATTTTGGAAGTGGATTCAAAGGAGGAAAAAGAGCAGCTGCTTGCCTCCAAATTCACAAAATGCAAAAGCTGGGTGAGTAAAGGCTCTTTTCAAACCTGGGGACCCTATTGTTTTGGTCACTCACAGCAACTGAGAGTTTTAAATTTTGCCTCCACTTGGGTCATGTGATTATTTATTATTTATGGGGCAGCACCTATACAGCTCATGTTTTACTAATGTAAAATTAATTAGCAAATGTTCAGAAAGCACTTTGAAGATGAAAAGTTGTATGACTGCTAAATATTATCATTATACTACTATCATAAAACACATAAAAGGCACAGGATCTCATAAGCTAAATAGATGGAGAATGACTGTGCTGCGTAGCACTCAGGGAGAAGATGGCGAAGGAGCAACCTCCGCAGAGGAAGCAGGCATGGATGCCACTAAAGAAAAGGTGAGCTTAAGTGGGTAGGCGGTGGGTGCAGGATGGCCTGCCTTTGCTCCTTGGCCCTACTTTCTGAAGGGACCAAATTAAAGTAGCTTCATTAGTATTTTAAAGATCTTAAAAACAAGGTTATTCTCTCAACTTTTTATGGAAATAAAAGCAATGTAAATCACAAAGGAAAAACAAGAATGAATAAGATTGAAAAACTGTAATTATTAGAATCTGTTTGCTTGTGAATTATTGTGAAAAATCTTTCCATCACAAGTAGACCATTCCTGAAAAGTATAGGTATAGTTGCTGGAATTGCTGAAGTAAAATTGGGGGATTTTACTTTTAAAAAGATAATTTCACTTAGACAATGTAAAGAATACAGGATGGTTACATCTCTCTATTTCTAGTGCTGTATGTTGTAATTAGAGGCTTTATTTGTGTTCATAATATGCTATTTTACCTGTAGGAAGTGGAAGACAAGGCTTAGGTCTTAATTTTTAATTACTGAAACAGTGAAATGCTTCATTGCTATACAGTGTTAGCAGTATAATTTAACATTGTAGTTGGAAACAGGAACAGCAACAAGAAGAGAGGACTTTATTCCTTCCCATCAACAGTGCCATGTGCCCAGATAGCGATTGGCCTGAAGATCAAAGAAGTGTGTTGATGGTTCCATAGCACACAAAGAAGTGCAAATAATTTTTGTGATCATTCTTAATGTAATCAAACTAACTCACAATATAAATATTCACATACTCATTAGTCTTTCCTAGACTCCAGCAAAATGCATGCCTTGATAAACCCTTTGAGCCTGACCCATATTTTTAATAAAAATTTTAGACGACTTTTCTGATTTTGATATCTTGCCGACAGCTAGCCTCTAGGTAAAGAGTATAATATTGAGCAGAATGTAATTTCCCAATAAACTTGTTGAATAATCAGTCATTTTATACATTAATACTTAGCTTAAGCAGCTATAAGAGAACCTCTGATATCTTTCCCATCAGTTAGTTAATCCTTTTATTTAATTAACAAAAAGGCTAGAAAAAGTATTTAATCTTGGTTTCCAAGTAATATGTTCTATGCCCTTCATGCTAACTTGCTATGCTCCTTTTGCTCCATAAACAATATATAAGAAATCAGACCCTGGTTTCATCCTTTGAAGGAATTAATAATTTTTAAGTACAACTTGCTACTGTTTCTTAAATTCCTATATAATCCTTGATATCCTCTTATCATTATTATATCTAATGACTTCAGGATATATTTGGCAAAAAAATATAACACTGTGGAAAATTAAGGCAAGTTGCTGAAATTAAAACAAGTTTTTCTATTCCTCAAATTAACTCCATTCCAAGACCCAATTTTGGTTGAATAATATTTCTCCACCAACATTCCACATCATAACACGTTGAGAAAAGTAGAATTTATGTCTGACATTGTGTTTAGAGAACATTTTAAAGAAAATAATCTAAATGGTGACAAAGTTTAATTTTTCTTTTGAATTGCAAATACACACACACACACACACACACACACACAAACTGCAGATTAATTAAACCCTTTGCAAATAAGAAGAATATCTATATTTTAGAAAACTCAGGTGACAATGACAGAAATACTTAGTTCACCTGCCTTTAAAATTAATTTTTACTTATTACCATAATTTTACATTTATGAATTAAGATGTAAGTTACTGTGGTGATCTTTGATTTAGTCTGTAAGGTAAGTGAGAGTTGCAAGATAGAGTGGCCTATATGATTTAATTTTCCTTCTGGAGATCAGGAACTCTCACCCAAAACCTAAACATACTAATAATGACCAGAGGAGAAATACCCACCTAGAATCCCTACCATATCTTCCTTAGATTTGAAATGGCCTAAACAGAAAATATTGTTTTACACTTACCCTTCTTTAAAATTAGGACACCAGAATGGTGATCTGCAAAGTTCCTTCCATTTCCAAGAAGCTATGCATATCCCATTCTAGGAGCTATATATTGGAGGGAGGTTTGAAGTCAACAATACTCCTTAGTAAACAAATTCTGGTATACAAGAATCACTGTTCCATCACCTTATAGACAAATAAGAAGGAGGGACAATAAATGAAGTTTATATGTGTGAAATTTCCAATATTCAACTTTTAATATACAAACACAGCATTTTTATATTATTTATTCTAGAAGCACATGGTTGAGAAGAATAAGAAAATATACTCCAAATATTTGCTACATCAAGTTTTACACTCCATTTATAACATTTTTTTGAAGCTTATCCCTTGGCAAACTGTGTTGAGTAAAATATACAGACATATACCTTTGAGTATAGAAAAGGTTCCTTTAGGGTAACATATTCATCTATAGGAAACTAAGTTACCAAGGTTTTATTATATTATTTATTCATTTATCTTTCCAAAAAATGTAAACACTATTTTACATTCAGTAGGTGAGTTGATCAACTTAGGGAAAAGTGTTTTCCTCTAAATTTTTGCAGAGTTAGATGTCTTTTAGTATTTTTAAAATTTTATTTTATTATAGATCCAAAAAGTTCATGGGCATTGTGTTTCTATAGAAACATTAAGATATTCATTTATGTGCAGAGCATGTATAAACACAATTTAAACAAAATATATTTAAATTGTCAAAGTTTCTTAAAATAAAATGGAATTTCTAAAAAAGATTTGGAGTTGGAAATTTCACCTGCATTGGAATCTAGTTAATATTATCTGTTCATGAAATAACTCCTATTTAAGGAGTACTTGCTAACTAACTAAAAAATAAATTTCCTAAAATATATTTAATTCGGTTTGCAAACAAAAATCAAATTAATATAGGTGTTTCAAACTGATAAGTATTTAGTACTGTCATTGTAATTGTTGATTATATATGTTTACATATATACATTAACATAACAATATATAA